AAAACATTTAAAGCTGTGTCTATGTCCGAATCATCAAATTTCTCCAAATTGATCTGGAGGGTTCCAATTTGATTCAGAGGGATTAAAGGGTCTCCTGATTCGATTCACATTCAGAGATTCAGCTGCCGAATCAGGCCAAATCTATGCCGAATCAAATCAGCAACGAAGCTACGCACAGCCCCACTACCCATGTCAGTCTGAAGTCAGGCAGAAGGCAGGGTAAAGATGTCTCTACCCCAAGATGATAATCTCTATGCTAAGATAATCAAGGATATTCCTAGCTAGCAGAGTGAGGGATTGGGACTGCTATTTGATGCATCTAAACTTACAACTGTGTTATATTGATCAGTGCCATTTTGGGAAAAAATAGTGTGCTAAACTGACTAGGATTCCTGATCTATTTCTTGTAGCCAGAAGCCGAGTGCATTTATCCAACTCCTTCTAATTTTTACATGCCATTCAAACACTGCCTCTTCAGTAGACAGAAACTATTTCATGCATTCAACTTGTGAGATGATTCTTTTAAATGTGAACAAGGAATTAAACTGAGACTCAAATCTCATTTCATTGCAGCCTGACTCAAGGGTTTATCATAATAGTGTAATAAATCTGTGGCCACCAAGGGCTTCACGGTTGTCAGTATGCTGCACACCACAACTATTTGGAACTTTGCGAAGAGAGAACACATTCTTCTGATCTCAAAAAGATATCTACCCCAGGAGGTAAAGAAAAATCCTCATATATTTTCACCAGTGTAGAACGTATGATAAATGGAACAGCTGATTACCTGTAGAGGGCAGTAATAGAGGTAGCAAAAAGGCTGAAGAGGGAACTGGTTCATTATAATAGGAGTTACATACCATATTTTCCTCACTTACACCACACCCCAGAATAAAATATGCACCTTGTTTGTGAAAGGCAGAATTAAGGAAAAAAGATCTTCCCGTGTAGTTACTGAGTAGCATCAGCTAGGGGACCAAGCCCTATTCTGCTCCCTATGAGGTCCCTGCAGATTGTACTTTCACTTTTGTCCAGTAACCAGCAGAAACTGTTCTTACCATGTTCCTCACAAATGTGCATGGCAGCTGGCTTTAGAAAAAAGGTGCATGTTGTATGCAAAAGAATATGACATATACCATATTGCCAAGGGTTTTTTTAGATCACATTTAAGTCTTATTATGATGCATGGAAATGATAGCAGGACTTCATATTGGGAAGTGCTCCTGACATCAAACTATAAGCATTTTTATTTGCCTAGAATGATTCTGAGACTTGAATGCATTGTTAGCACTATCACTACAATGCTTAAACGGCTGACTGTTAACACATACTTTGTATGAACAGCCAACATTAATTAATACAAAAATAAAATACTTGGCCTTTCACAGCTAGAGAATATGGATTATGCTCAATGGAGATCCTTTGTAGGACAACTATTGTACCTGTAATTATGGAACCAGTTGATCACTGTGCTCGTTTTCAAGTTGAGCTGTGTAGCAAGTTCCTCAATGGTTTTTGGTGATGGGTATGGCTTTTGCTGATAGGCTCGCTTTAGAGCTTCTTTCTCTTCTGGTGCCAATACTACTCGTGGTTTCTTTAGCTGATGCTGTGGCTGTGGGCTGGCTCCCTGACTGTAGTCTATTCCAACCGATGAGGATTCACATGATTGACTGTCACTAACTGAGCTGTGCCGTCGTTTCATGTAGGCTAAAAGAGAAGTATATTAGATCAGCACTAAATCAATACAAATGTAAAAATCATTGAATACATCATCTAAAGTGAATGCAAAGGTTGCAAGCTGTGCATCTGTGGGTTCACGACAGAGGGAATGAAAAGCAGCACTTAAAAGGGGCAGATCGGGCATGAACAGGTGGTAGGGAAGGAAGAAAAGGAAGGGAAAGAAGGAAAAATGCTTAGAAACATTTCAGAATTTGGAAAATGAGAGAGATGGATAACGGTGTGTAGAAGTCAGGCACATAATTCAAACATTACTCAAAAATGCTTCATTTTATGAAATGAAGCATTTCATGGAAGCATCTAGTTAGGTCACTCACTTTGTGTTACAGCTCAAATGTTTTCTGCTGCTTCATATTTAAAATTTCCCATTACATTAAATTTATACTGCGGTGGCTCAAAAACAGTGAAACCTTAACCACATTTCCAACACAAGATGGCGCTTGGTACCTGTCAAATCTTAACAGTTCTGTCTAGGCCCTAAAATGGTTCAGAGGTCTCCTGCTTTTACTAAAGAGCCAGGCTATACTGGAACCAGTTTATAATAAGACAAATAATCTACATCACCTGCAAGAGTCCAGTTTTGAAAAACAAAAGGAAGCTGTTGCTTCATGCATGCTAGCTCATTGGATCAATCCTAGAAATCTAAGCAATGTCATCACGGACCACCACCTCCACAGGAATTTGAACTATCCTGGTGAGTTCAGTAAGGAAGAGACCTGGATAACACTCACAGCCTTGATTGATTTACATTGGCTGAAGGGAAGCAGGGCCTTATCAACACTGTCGCCATCATGTAAGAGCACTGCTAAAGAGGCCTTGTCCCTGCAGTGAGCTGAAAACAGCACACTTAAATGGTGTTACCAATGAAATTTTGTAAGGGTCCATTAAATATTTAAAAAGTGTGCAAGTAATTTGATAGCCGTGCCGATGGCATTCCAGCTTACAATGGTATCCCCTCCTCCC